GTTGCGGTGAACTGAGATTGCGCCATTGCACTCCAGCCTGGGCAACAAGAACAAAACTCTGTCTCAAAAAAAACAAAAAACAAACAAACAAAAATAGTTAACACTAATGCCAAGCCTAAAAAAAGGGCCTTTAAACAGAGGAAAGTATGTTTTTGAGCCTTTGCACGAAGGGAAGTCTATTTAGTACCCGTTGGGCTAAATGATTAAGTTAAACCTAGAGGAAAGAATCAGATGTATTCTAGAATGAAAATTGAGCAAAAGATTTCAGTCAGAGGGGAAATGAGAATAGACCATCAGGTCATGTCAATAGAAGGTTGCTACTATGGAAAGATCAATGGAATGAAAAAAAGTAGACAGAGCCCATGTTTTCACTGTTTGCTATCATTAGCCTCTCTGGATTTTTCTTTCCTTCCCAGGCTCAGCCAATGACCAGGGATCAAGTGAGTTGACCTAAGGTCACAAAGGAACTAGGGAATGGTTTGGGGTCAGTAATTTATCCCCAAACACAGAGTAGCTCCGCTGGAAATTCAAAGGTTTATTGATCCTGTACAGAAAGCTAAGCAACAGGAGACAGAAAGAGTACACAAAGAGAGAGGATGAGAAGGAAAAGAGGAAAATAGCAGCAACATGTTCACCATGTGCTAGCAAGGCCTGACTACACCTGTTGGCCAGCCCTGTCCACATCTGTGAGGGGCATAACAGAAAACAGAATAAGAGTAATAACTACACTAAAAGGGAAGTTGAGTCCTGATAATAACTTTAGGAGGGGAAGGGGACATGTTGCACAAAAATAATTATCCTATATAGGTAGTTAACTTAAATCACATTTTTATCTATTACCTGTATCAGATGTTTTTCTTGGTCTACACTAATCTTACTATCATATCCAGAATTCAGACAAAGGACTGGGATAGTCCCATATGCTTAGAATATCCTACTCTGAACATTTTTGTTATTGTCATTTATATAAAATTATGTTCTTGAACACCTACTCCATCCCAGGCATTGCTGTAGGCCTTAGAGTAGTGAAGAATAAGATAAATACGATCAGCCGGGCATGGTGGCTCAGGCCTGTAATCCCAGCACTTTGAAAGGCTGAGGTGGGTGGATCACAAGGTCAGGAGATCGAGACCATCCTGGCTAACATGGTGAAACCCCATCTCTACTAAAAATACAAAAAATTAGC